GTGTGTGTGTGTGTGTGTGTGTGTGTGTGTGTGTGAATGTGGGTGAATATGGAGGGATCCCCACACCCCCCACCCTCCCTCATACCCACATGCTGCCCACTCAATTTCTATGCTGCCACTGCCTCCTGGGCATGGGTTCTGCGCTGCCACCAGCCCCACACTCCATGCTCCCACCCAGCTGCAGCTTCACCCCCATACCACCGCTTCCCTACCTGCTGCCCCAAGTGAGTGGGATGCCTGGGAGGCCAAGCAGCCCCACCCAAAGGCTGCATGCTGGTGAAGCCAGGCCCTTCCACCCACAAGGCTGGGAATGTGACTCAATAAGGTATATTGGGGGGGTGTACGTGAGTGCCTTACTTCCACCTTGTGGATGGAAGGGCTGGGCGGAGTACAGTTAGTTGGTGGGTACCACAGGCCAGATGAAAGTGCCTGGCGGGCTGGCCTGTGGGCCATATTTTGCCTACCCTTGACCCATATCCTGTGTTTGATAATAGTGATACTTTGATGTGGATAAGAGCAACAGCATTTAATAAGTAGTGGACTGAAAGACAAGAGTCTACATCTTCTACAAAGCCAGGATTTATAGAAGGGATCTGCACTGAATCACATCTTCTGAGGGTTGGTAGCAATGGCAGTCCCTCAATACAAAGATGACAGTCTTCCAATAGATAGGGATGTCATTGGTGAGTCCGAAGATGACTGAAGAGGCCAATCTGAGATCTGTATGTTCAACTGCAGATATGGCATACAATTCCAGAAGTCTCCCAGGTATTAATGTTAATATTGCATTTTTTCAGGCTGACTTTCAAGGTCTCCTAGAATCTCTTCTTTTGCCCACAGTCAGGCACAGAGGTCAATACAGGATACATACTGACCAGTGGTTTGTGTTTCTTCAAAAGAGATCTCCAAACTGCAAGTTGTCAGTCATCATGTTCCTTTTTTTTCATAGCACAGGTATAAAACATCAGCTTTTGGGTATCACTGCATCTTGCAATGCCTCTGACAGAGCAGTTGCTCTTTTTTCTTCCTTCTGTTTTGTCTTCTCTCTTAAAATTACAGGTACTGGCATTGAATCATTTTGGGCATGTATATACATGCTCCAGGAGGAGGGAGGAGGGGGGCATTAATTAGAGCGGCTCCAAGAGCCACTGTAATTAAAGTACCCAGAGCATCTCATGTATCCCTGCACTGAAAAATGGTCGTGAGAGTCCTTTAACTAAAGCTTATTGAATAAGCTCTAGTTAAAGTGCCCCGCCACCATTTTTCAGCAAGGGTACACTGATACACAAGATGCTGGAGTCTGCTGGAGCACGATAATTACCATGCTCCAGCAGACTCGATTAACTGAGTCTGCTCCAATACATTGTAATTACAGTGTGTCAGAGCAGCCTCACTGCTTGTGTATAGGAACCCTGGTGATCAGGAGTTGTGTCCACAAACGGATTTTATTCTGTTACCTAGTATTTCAAGCGTTTCTAAGTTCATCCATCCTAACATATCTTCATTGGTGTTATTGAATATCCAACTGATTTTCCTCATTCTGTAGCACCAAAATTCAGACACTGTGCTTCAACCTTCAGTTCATCCTTTTTTTAAGTGTTCAGTTTCTACAACCATGCAAGATAGTCAAACCCTGTAACAGTTCAGTAATCCAAGGCACCCGTGTAATTTAACTTTCTACAACACATGTGCCTTTGAAAGTTCTAGAACTAACTTTTTTGCAAGATCTTCATCATATCTTCCACCTAATTGTATCGATCTCCATAAATATAAGAACTTGTTCACTTAGTCCCATTTAGTTATTGAGATAGAGGTGTTGCTAGCCTTGTAATTTACTCTGTATCTATGTAATTGTCTTGGTTTTCTTAATACTTATCATCAACATGCTGGTATAATTCCTGCTGGTATTATTTAAAGCACTAAGCATGTTTTGAAAATCTCTCGTAGTCAAAGTTCTGTTAAAATGGAGCTGTCAGTTTTTTAAATGAGAGAGCATCTATTCATGTGCTCCAGGGTGGAGGGGCAAGAGGGTGCTTTAATAACAGCCACTCTGAGAGCCGCACTAATTAAAGTGTCCATAGTGACATGTATAGTCAGAATCCTATGCTTCAAAATGCTGATGGGGGCATCTTAACTAAAGATCACCGTTCAATGAGCTTTAGTTATAGCACCCCACTGCCATTTTGAAACGTGGGAGCACTGAATACACATAATGCAGAGGCTGCTGGAGTGCACCAATTAGCACTCCCCAGCAGACTCAATTAATCGAGTCTGCTTCAACACATCCTAATTAGCATGCATCACAGCAGAAGTCCATCACATGTATAGTGACTCAGATTTTCTATAGAACCCTTAAAAATTCAAGTTGATAATGAAGAAGACACACAGTTTTGTTATAGATTATTATACCAGGAATCAGTCAGACTATCCTGATCCAAATTACTTAATGTTAATAGAAACTGCCATTTTCTTGAATGGCTTTGTATTGAGCCAAAAATTAAAAAGAACAGTTGTAAATTATCTAATGATGGCATTTCCTTCTATTAGAGCTCAATCACTTACCCAGTGAAGTCAATCAAAACATTTTCATTGATTTCAATTTGACTTTGTAGCAGTTTCTTTAATTCCTGATGATTGTACATGAAATAGAATTATTTCTGTGAATCAGCATGTTCTGAAGTAACTTTACTGATCATAATCTCTCTTAAAATCTTGGAAGTAGGAGATATTGGCAATTACTTGCCTTTTCCTCAGAAAACCTAGAAGGGAAGGGAGTTCCCACTGTCTGTGGAGGGAAGGATGAGCTGCAATCTTTACAAAAAGATGTAATCGCAGCTCGTGCATCTCTGTCAAAAATTAGCAAAAGACATTGCCTGAGTTTTGCTTTGATCCTTATAAAAATTCCTATAGAATTTAACTGGGATGAAACCAATGTACTTCCTTAGAATATGTTCCCTAGGATATAATGGAGAAAAAATACACTAAACCGTCTTTTTAACTATCCTGTTAAAATATGTAGTGGTTGTAAACATGTCTACTATATTACATTCCATATGAGAACAATGTTGACCTCCCTGCCAAACAAATCCTAGACATGCTAGGATCAAAGGAATAAGAAGCATTTTACAACCACCTTCCCCCTACGTCCAGTGTACTTTACATGGAAGTTGAAGATCTGACCTTCCAAGTTTCCTCTTTCATGCCACATATGCTGTTACAGAAGTGAAAGTTTTTTTTAGGTACCCTGAGTTAAACGTTTTGGAAGGTAAGAGTTCACAGCAGCTTAAGAGTACAGATCATATTATAAGGGCTATTGAATACCACCCTCTCTTACATGTACCCTAGAGCTCTGGTTAGAAGTCCTTGACACATAAAATCCAGTGATACTTTATCTCCCTTTACATTTAAGCCTATATTCAAATTACTCCAAAAGTAACTTTTAAATCTTCCTGCTGAGGCTTTTGTAGGAGCACATGGAGCTTTTTGCCCAGGGATTCCTGTTTCATCCTACTGTGTAATTTGACATATCCAGTAACAGTTTAGCACCTGTCTAAGTGAACAGTACTTATGAGAAGAATTTAATACATTCAAAATTAATTATATTAATACATTAATACATTCAACTGGCACATTAGGCCAAGAAATAGTTAAAAAGCACATTCATATGTCAGTAGTTTATATAATAAAACCCTGCTGAGCTCACTAGACCTGGTTGACAATGAGGAGAAAGAGCTGTTCCCATTTGTAACCACAGGGAGTAGGTCCAAGCATAGGAAAACTGGAATAAAGAAATTGGCTGGATTACATGCTGCCAAGGGAATAAAGAGAAAGGTTTTTTTAGGGAAACAGACACTAACCCCTCTGGGGTTTTGAAGAAGTTAGTCCTTGCCATGCTATTCAACAGGTTATAATACTTTTTAGGTGAGATAGCCATGTGTGTAGGCCTTTGGACACTGACAGATGTGCAGCTTCCTGCTGTAACTGATGGTGCTTCTCAGGAAGCACCATGAGTTTCAGTGTTGCCTAAAACCCAACAGATGTCTACTGTTGGGGTCCAGGGGATTGAGGATCAAGCTCCAGTTTGGAGCAGGTGCATGTCTGCA